TTATCTGATACATAAAGATTAGACATTTACTTATAATCAACAGATTTACTCCTAACATATTTCTTCAGCTCAGTATACAGAGAGCTATAGCTGTCGTTGTCGATTTACACTTGTGCCCAGAGCAAAAACAATTTTCGCCTTTATATGTGCAAAACGGCACAACTGGAATTTCACAATCTTTTTGTATATTTGCTTTATAAAATAACGGTTTCTATAAGCAAACACTAGTTCAATTTAAAGTGAAAAAAACATTAAACTATCTTATTAAATGTGATTTAGTGCAGAATCTCAAAACTGTTACGATTCCCGAATATGGTCCATATTAAAACATCTGTATTGACGTCTTTTTTTATTTACACATCGATTTTGGGTTACGTATATTTACATCGTTCGATTGTTTGTTGTAAGATATTCATTTACCTGCATATTAACCATTTTGTACTAATTTTCTCACTGCCACGTTCCACTCGAACCCAAAACTTCTTAAATTTTAATAAATATATCATTATTTCATAATCCATTGTATGACTCAGTCTGTTTCTGACGCCAACTGTGTTTCCACGATAGAAAGGTGTACTTGGTTTTAAGTTCAAACATTTTATTGTGTCAAAAATGTTATTTTCACATTTATAAGTGATTAGACAATTTAGAAAGAAAAGAATTAAAAATAAAAGAAAAGTTCAGTGAATCAACCACTTGCAATTTAGAAGCCGGTCACACCAAGAGTTGCAGTAATGACCGTACTGAAATCAAACCACGCCAAATTAGGTTGGTATCAGCTGAGCATAACGAAAGCCCAGGCATCACCATATTACAAGCAGAAAAAGTTCATATTTTTACTCGTTTTGGTATCATTAGTTAGTCTGTTCAATTTTTTGTAAGTATCACTTTCATCAAAACTCTCTTCATTTCGATGGATTAGATTCCATTTTGGAATTTGCAATTATTTGAATGGAGTGGATTTGCAGAAGTGTTCTGAAAAATGTTACATTTCAGGAATCCAGAAAAAACATCAACGACCGTAAGCAATGTCTTTTTATCGCGAGTAAAAGTGGCTCCTCCCATTAAATTTGGGCCAAAGCCATATTATATGCAAAATGGCATAGTCTATCCCAAAGAGGCGAAATTCAACGCGAAACTCGGCCGACGTGATGCTAAACTTCTACCAGAAGAAGATCCAGACACGTATGATCGTTTCGAAAATCAACTGATGTTCGTTCCACCGAATTACTATAAAACTCGTGACCTGAAGAAAAATAAGACACTTTTGATGTATGGTGGAACGATACCATCGCTTTGTCTCTATTTTTCATTAATTTTCATTTCTTTCTTTTGTGATTTTCTTTCTCCTACAGGTATGGTGGATACGAAGGATGGTGGGGTATTGCGGGACCAAATATGGCAACGTGGTTTAGCGATCGAAAGTGCCCAGTGGATACATGCAGATTCTCATTAAATAAATCTGATGCAGAAACGGCTGATTTTCTTATGTTTTCCTCACAACATGATGCTATCAATGTAAAACGTACACCAAACCAAATTTACGCTTTCTATCGTCTTGAAAGCCCTATTCACTATCCGGGTAGATACCCAAGTAAGTTTGAAATAGTAAAATTGGCTATGTTTACTACATGAATTTATGCTTGAAGGCCAAAAAAATTACACATTTAAACTCAATTTTGCATTTCAGAATCTCTCATTTACAATTGGACAATAACTTATAGGTAAGCAAAATGCGATAATGTGTCAATGCAAATCACAATTGATTCCAAAGTTTAAAATTGAATTTTATCAAGTTCTGTGTTAATATTTCAATGACTAGTGCGTCAAACTGATATAAAACACTTTTTCACTCACCTCTTTCGTATGAAATTCCCCAGACATGACAGTACGATACCTATTCCATACTCAAAATGGGCTTACTATGACCCGAAAATTACGCACATGCCACAGACTAGAAATTTTGCCCAAAATAGAACGAAAAAAGTTGTATGGATGGTGTCGAACTGTGAGGCTCACAACGACCGTGATGTCTACGTTCGTGAACTTCAAAAGTATATTCAAGTAAGAATTTCATCGAATTTCAATATTTTTCATTGCTATGGATAGAATTATAGATTTTCATAACTTTGTATGCATTCTAATATTTTATCGACTAGCAACAAGCACAAACTAAGATGGTACAAGTTTCAAATTGATTGAAATAATTAAAACAAACATAAGTTTCGAATTAATTTCATAAAATTTCTCTTTCAAAATATTTTTCAATTGAATCAGGTCGACGTGTATGGTAAATGTGGAACATTCAATTGTACGGATACGGATAAGTGTCTGCGTCAATTTGCGAAAGACTATAAATTTTATTTGGGATTTGAAAATTCGCATTGCGCCGATTATGTGACGGAAAAAGTGTATCGTAATTCATTGGGTCGAGGAGGTATTATTCCGGTGGTATTGGGCGCACGCAAAGAAGACTATGAACGACAACTTCCATACAAGTCTTTTATTTACGTTGAAGATTTTGCGACACCCAAAGATTTGGCGGAATATTTGCACAAAGTGGACAAAGATGACGATCTATACAATTCGTATTTCCAGTGGGTGGGAACGGGTGAGATACATACCTTGTACCCATCGTTGTTCACTTTTTTTTGGTGCCGCGTTTGTGCTATGCTACACGACGACTACACCATGTCGCATCCACGTTGGTATGAAGACATCAACAAATGGTGGTTCGATCCAGATACGCTGAGAAGAGGGTTTTGGCGAAATACTAGAAGCTAATTTAAAGGCTATTCGAGCAATTGATCAATTGCTACTTATCTGATACATAAAGATTAGACATTTACTTATAATCAACAGATTTACTCCTAACATATTTCTTCAGCTCAGTATACAGAGAGCTATAGCTGTCGTTGTCGATTTACACTTGTGCCCAGAGCAAAAACAATTTTCGCCTTTATATGTGCAAAACGGCACAACTGGAATTTCACAATCTTTTTGTATATTTGCTTTATAAAATAACGGTTTCTATAAGCAAACACTAGTTCAATTTAAAGTGAAAAAAACATTAAACTATCTTATTAAATGTGATTTAGTGCAGAATCTCAAAACTGTTACGATTCCCGAATATGGTCCATATTAAAACATCTGTATTGACGTCTTTTTTTATTTACACATCGATTTTGGGTTACGTATATTTACATCGTTCGATTGTTTGTTGTAAGATATTCATTTACCTGCATATTAACCATTTTGTACTAATTTTCTCACTGCCACGTTCCACTCGAACCCAAAACTTCTTAAATTTTAATAAATATATCATTATTTCATAATCCATTGTATGACTCAGTCTGTTTCTGACGCCAACTGTGTTTCCACGATAGAAAGGTGTACTTGGTTTTAAGTTCAAACATTTTATTGTGTCAAAAATGTTATTTTCACATTTATAAGTGATTAGACAATTTAGAAAGAAAAGAATTAAAAATAAAAGAAAAGTTCAGTGAATCAACCACTTGCAATTTAGAAGCCGGTCACACCAAGAGTTGCAGTAATGACCGTACTGAAATCAAACCACGCCAAATTAGGTTGGTATCAGCTGAGCATAACGAAAGCCCAGGCATCACCATATTACAAGCAGAAAAAGTTCATATTTTTACTCGTTTTGGTATCATTAGTTAGTCTGTTCAATTTTTTGTAAGTATCACTTTCATCAAAACTCTCTTCATTTCGATGGATTAGATTCCATTTTGGAATTTGCAATTATTTGAATGGAGTGGATTTGCAGAAGTGTTCTGAAAAATGTTACATTTCAGGAATCCAGAAAAAACATCAACGACCGTAAGCAATGTCTTTTTATCGCGAGTAAAAGTGGCTCCTCCCATTAAATTTGGGCCAAAGCCATATTATATGCAAAATGGCATAGTCTATCCCAAAGAGGCGAAATTCAACGCGAAACTCGGCCGACGTGATGCTAAACTTCTACCAGAAGAAGATCCAGACACGTATGATCGTTTCGAAAATCAACTGATGTTCGTTCCACCGAATTACTATAAAACTCGTGACCTGAAGAAAAATAAGACACTTTTGAT